GTATATACCAAATTACTCTAAAGTAGATCTGGAGTGTTTTAATTCATGGGCGAGTTGTGCCCCAATTTCGTATTCATATAGTTTCCATAATATAGGTTTAATTAAGTAGCTATTGTTTCTGTTACTGTTCAAATGTTGAACGTACAAATAATTTTAATTTCTATTTTCCCCTCTTTACACTATATGAATTTTATCTCATAATTTGTCCCCTGTCTTGTCACCAATTAAATAAAAATAATTGTTTCCTCCAGAATAGGTAGCTGAAATGCCACCCGATAGGCCGGCTTTTAAGCTACTTCATAATAAAACGTGCACTACTATTTTGGATACAAAAAAAATAAGAGTCGCTCTCCTTGAAACATGATAGCAAAGATAATGGCTAGTATAACGTATTTACATATATATATTTAACAGCGCATAAACTGAAAGCCCTTAATCTGAGCTCAACGAAAATCATTCCTTGCAGCTAACTTTACTAGGATTTTTGAATGGTGCTATGAATCATTAAAATAGGAACAGTGGATGCGGAGACATTGCTTCGGGACAAACGCACGCCCAAAAACACACAGCTATATTTTACTTTTTATGTAAAATATACATTGCAATTAATGTAACATATTTTAGAAGATGCTAATACCTTAAATTACAAATAATATAAACAGCCACGAGAAAAATAAAAAATAACCAAAATCGATAAATACGTAATAAAACAAATTCAGTAAATAATAAACTAATTAACAAGCTCTGATTCCACGGATAAACACTAGTCAACGTAATAATAATAATAATAACGAACACTAAACAGTAATAAAAAATAGTGATTAAAATCGTAAGAACACTGTAAAATATCTACAATTAACCTCATTGTGATCCACAAATATTACTCTAAATAGCCACTACAATAATATGATACATAACCGTAAACGGTTTCCCAATAACCGTTAGAAAAATACACTAGGATTACTAGCTGTAATGTCCCATAATCCCGTATATATAAATAATTGTGCCCCCCACCCCCAAAAGAAAAAAAACACACCCTGGCCGGAAGATTTCGTAAAAGCATTTTAAAGAGGCTGTCACTGGTTGGTTATGCCATCAGTGGCTGCATTTATATTAACATACAATCTATCTCTGATATCGAACATTTTTACCCATAAATATTACATACTTTAAATATATATCTTTATCCTACACACACACACACAAGCAAAACACACACACATATATATATATATATATATATATATGTGTGTACGCATGTTTTATATATAGGGAATATTATTATTATTATTATTATTATTATTATTATTCTGCTTGCCGTTCCCTTAGTTTCTTAGAACGTACATAACTGTTAATGCCTTATAAATAATAAATTATTATACTTTGATCACGTGGAATGACAAAAAGGACGACTTGATTTCAGTGAGAAAGTGGATCTTTTCATTTGTATCTCTCTCTCTCTCTCTCTCTCTCTCTATATATATATATATATATATATATATATATATATATATATATATATATATATATATATATGTATATATAATTTATAACAAATTTATGTTATAAATTTGGAATAAATAATATGCTGTCTACTCTCTATTGATCACTTTTATAAGAATTGGGGTTTTGGTTATTTGAATTTAATTCCGTCTACAATAATCCTATATATATATATATATATATATATATATATATATATATATATATATATATATATATATATATATATATATATATATATATATATATATATATATATATATATATATATATATATATATATATATATATGTATATAATGTCTGTGTGTAGCGCTCTCTAGAATAAAGGATATAATCCTGCTGAAGATAAAAAAACAATGAAACTGAATCAGATTGTTAAAAGTGTCAAGCTTTCGCAGTTATTTATTCATGCTTGTCTCTGGAACAAACAACTTATATCCCTTATCATAAAGCAACACATAGCTATTAAGATATGGGCTTCAAACAGGTCATTTCCTTTAATGACAAATGCATTTTTCCAGAGCAAAGGAACACACCAAAGCAGTCGTATTATGCAAAAACTTAATTGCATTGTTTTCGACAGCTGAAAGATAACACAATACGTTCTTTGTGATTTTCTCCCTCATCGATCGATTCTATGGAGAGAAAAGAAAATACCACCCTAAATTATGATTTATGTCATGATCACTTCTTTGTCGCTATGTGCTGTTTTATAACTCTAGTTAACAGGCAAATTTTAAGTTATCTAGAAAATTTTATTAACATTTATTTGATATACCGTTTGTGCAGTATAAACTGTCGTATAAGCGAGACAAAAATGTAAATAATCTCATCTTAACAGATATATTTACCAAAATTACGCAAAATTATCTTGAAATACTAAAGAGTAAATTTATTCAATAAAATAGCTTTTGGCTTCAAACATCGCCTTAAAACTTCGGATTATCCTGCATCTCTTCTGGACGGCCTCCTTGTTTATGTTGGTGAAAGCAACCATAATCCCTGTCTTTAGTTCCTCTTACAAGGAATTTTGTTGGTCTCTAGCTCAAATGCGTCCTACACCCAATAACCAAGCACGTGGCAGTCTCGGAATTTAGATGATAACTATGGTTGCAGAAATAGTTTGACAGCCATGACTGGGTTCTCCTGCTTATACTGCATGGTACAAAATCCTGTTGCTAGACATTGAATCTTCCAGCAGCCACCCTCTTGACTCAGAGTAGCACTACCTTTTCAGGTCTTTGCTAACCAATAGCAAATTCGAAATTACTTTTTTTTTTCTTTCAGAACGATCAGAGTCATGTTTCCGAACCGCCGTAACTTCGTAATCATCATCACACACATTCAACTTTTTCCGAAACTTCTGCACTCTCCTCAGATTGTCGTCCAAACACACTTAAATGTTCATATTGGGGCTTTCGATGCGAATGCCTAGCAGTAAAGCATGTCGTTTCGAAAATTCTGGTGGTGTGAATTGCATCATGGTGTCCTTTTTCTCACAGACGGGGGCCGACTAGATCCTACTATACTGCGCAGTCGACAAAATCAAAAACAACTAACACCAATGCACGAAATTAAAAATTCTGTATAAAAATATTAAATAGGCAAGCCAAGCCCATTATATAAGCAAGGGAAATAATACGGCAATATAAATGATTACTCTCTCTCTCTCTCTCTCTCTCTCTCTCTCTTTCTTTTTCTCGCTGACACACATCCTTAATTTCTATGCACGCCACAAGGTCACATCCTCACCACATTATGTGCTCCTGTTTTTGTTTCGATAGCGAATCGAATTCTAGGGGCTGGAACTGCAAGACACAAGCCCAACCTGCTCTCTCTTCAGAACTTTCCTGCTAACTGATTGCAGGCCAATGTAATGCCACAGTTCAATTTAATTCATATTTACAAGGAGCAACGATGTTTTATATATTTTTTCAGTTTGCGAAAATCAAGTCAGCGTGCTGATAATCTCTCATCGAAATATATATAATTCGAAAATAAGGAAAAACTTTTAAACTTTAATCATTTTTCTCTCTCGAATATTCAAATAGACTTCATTCATATTTACAAGAAATATTTCGTTTAATTAGTGCACGATTCAAATCCCTAACGTATATTAAACAGGACTGATTTTTGTAAGTATATGCTTCCTTTTCGAAATATTCCCTTCACAAATCTCTTATTGTACTGTATAGTATGGCGTGTCATTATGCCTTATAAGATTTAAGGCTTTTTAAATGATTCCGTGGGGGACGTTTTTCTTAAACCGTAAATATTTTCTGCCTATACCTTTCTGTTCCTGCTACTTTTTGATCTATTAATAGTTTATATCGCCTTTAGTCAAAGCGAAAATTGGCAATATATGAGGATAAATAAAACAGGTAACACAAATGATTTTTGAAAATGCAATAATTTACACCCAATCATCTGTGGTTCTGTCATGGAAAAAATTATGCCTCATCTAACATAAAAACCACTACTTACATTATTCGTGCTTTCATAACCTCTATATTAATGTTCTCTGATACACTTTAACGTATACTGTTGTATTGTGAAGGCATGGAATATCTTTTCAGCTTTCCGTCTGATCATAAGAATTCGAGGGATGAAATGGCAATCTAAGTCCTTAAGGAAATGTAAAATTACACAATTCCCCAGTGAAAGAGGCAATTCCAATTCAATTATTTTGTGACATATCAACAGTATAACTTTCCAGAATTATGTATTAGACTTTTGATTGTAAAATATTTCAATTGAGATATTTATTGTTAATCGGTAGACCTTTATTAAATATGAAAGCTGAAGAACATAATACTAGTTACATCTAATGCCATGTTTCTAGTGGCTTTGTTATTGCAATTTTATACGTAGTAATATATATATATATATATATATATATATATATATATATATATATATATATATATATATATATATATTATGATGGAAGATAAAGTTTCAGGACACTGGTAGGCGATATAAATTTAAGTATTTGTATATAGATAGATGTAAATTAACTCTACTTGTGCGTATTTTAGACGTTGGGACGTGGTGCCATAGTGTTCTTGGTGTTGGAATTTCTCTGAGCAAGTAGTTGATAAGTTGTGATAATAGTTATTTGAGAAGCTGATTATATTCCAAGTTTCCATGCAATTCTGAACTGTCCCGGAAAGATCGACCCATTTTAATGCCACTAGTGACAATTGATCGCCGGGCACAGCATAGATCAGATCAAATGTTGCCTCAGGACTGTTTTGACTGTGAAGTTAATTTGTTGTATATTGGCTTTTTATAGACATATGGAGGAATGGAACTTCACCCTACTGCAATGACACAATATGCAGGACAAAACCTGATACGCTTAATGATGTTTCGGTAGTATTAGCTCTTGACTGAATGAAAGAAACACAACTGGAATATTTACATGTATATCGATTTCTTATTCCGAACCTTCATTCATTATACCAACTACACCTCGCATAGCCAAACTGATTTCACCTGGTATTCCCAGGTGATCACTCATCTAATTATTTACCAGGCTCGATATTGTTTAACTTGAGAGATCTGACGGGAACCGATGTTTTAACGTGATATGGCCGTAAACTCCCCAGTTCAGTTAATACAGGTGACCGGGAATCATTTGTTTTTTTGTTTTTTTTTAGAAATATTACAACCATGGTTGTCTGGACTGAGATATCCACCCAAGTACACAGTATTTCAAAATGGTCACATGCTCTATTGAATGCTGTTCTGTAGTTTACAATAATCCCGACAGATGCAGTCTTCAAGCAATCGATGGTAGTAGTCATTTGCACATGGTGATATCTACCTTCCAACCAGTTTTTGGCTAAGTAACATGGGCTAAAATCCTGGCCAAATAGTATTCCCGCCATAAAATACAAGTCAGTTTTCCTTTTGGTGTTCGTGGAAAGAATGTTATAAAAATTCATGAAAGTAAAAACTATTGCCTAAAGATTGGAATGAGGTGGCTTCAAAAGGAAATATGATATGCGCTTGTAGAAGATAAATGACACACCCGTCAAGCACTGCAATCTGATCGAAAAACCCATATAGTTCTTAAACTTGTTCCCCTGAAATACATATAAACCACGGTTATAATTTGTTTACTGACGACAATTGTATTCTTTCGTTAACCGGCGCCAGAGGTAAGGGACTGCATATCGCCGCATCTTTTTTTTTATTTTTACGATTGTATGTACACGAGAATACAGTGACCACTTAAAAATCAAGGATAATATAATATCTATTACTATGTCATCTCGCTGCTGTTAATACACTTCTTATTTTGAAAACTTCGGTTTGTAAAAGAAAATACAATTTAGCAATAAAAAACAAAACGAATTAATCAATAATGAAAAATAAATAGAAATCATTTGAAAGCCGAATGAAAAGTAGATCGGATGATAAATGATCATCAATTAAATTTGTAGCCAGATTTTTTTTCCTACAAATTACATCTCAAAAATCTGGCCCTGACTAGTTTTTGACGTGAAACTCATATGTTGGCAAACTAGATATATCAGTTGAAAATTTCATGATTAATCAAATATAATATATTATACTATCTAAAAACAGTGTCAATTGGAAGAAGTTCTTTCGAATAACGATGCATTTCTTTTCTACTTTGACATTCGTTTAAATACTAACAATATATCACATACTCAGAATCAAAAGGAGACAGTATGAATTTCTTGGGCATATGTTGAGGAAAGATGGCTTGGAAAAATTAAAACTCACAGCCTAAATTGGGCGCAAGATTTATGAGGAATGTGAGCGAGTCACATACCTGACAAGCTTTTGAGAACTGAAGACGGAATTGGGGACTAGAGTTTTTGCAAAAGGCGGGATGCTTTTATGGGCCTGGGGGGATCGGGACCCTGTGATAGACCACGGCTTGGAGGGACATGAAGCATAGAAAATATACGATGTATGGATATTTCTATCATATCGTACAGAGTGAGACATCAAGAGAGAAAGAGAAAAAGAGAGAAACAAAAAGAGTGAGTTACGTACATAAACATATTTATAGAGGCAATATACGGTAATCCAGTTATATAACCCGTAACTTTATACTTGAGTAAATAATCAGTGTCCTTAATTATCTTTTCTCGCAACGTATGTGTTGAAGCTTAAATTAATACAACACAAAATGTTTAACAAAATGTATTGCAAAGAATAGGTAAATAATTTACATTTAGTTTTAGTATATTCTTGACTGTTCCCTGCATAATGGGTTGACTAAATCGCAGTCGGGCAGAGTCTCTGGATTCAAGAATACTATCTTCCCTGTCTTCCGGTACCAACCCATATTTATATGGTCGGTAGTCCGCTTATGTAAATTAGGTGTATCATACACAACAGTATGGGAAGAAATTTTCCAGATATGGCAAGAATATGACCTTTCTTTTTGAAAGTTTTTTAGTTTTCTTTTTCTTACAGGATATACGTATTAGGTAACCAACGAAATCATTCTCGTTTATTTATTTATAAGAAAAAGCGTATACGGCATATCTGACATCATTTTCGACCTCAAAGTCGTTCCCATCGACATCCAGAAGCATTTGCCAAGGGCTTGACGTATTTGATGACTTGATGCAGCTTCGGACAAGCCAACCAGATTGTCATAAATTAAACAATATCGAACATACTGCTTCAACACCGTTTCATCGCCGCTGCAGGTGATATGATTGGTGTGAGTGCGCAACTGCATTTATCAATGGTGTGAGTGTGCAACTGCAGTTGTCAATGGTTATAACGCAACGAATGTTAGTCATTTGCAAAACTCTGAAGCAGAAGAGTTATTGCGGATGGTTAAGTGGGTTGTGTTAAATTTATTGTAGTATGTGGTTGGTGCATAATTATCAGGCGTTTTTTAAATAATATTTATTATGAAAAAAGAAACATAACATTCCAATAATAACATTTTTAAATGATTATTTCAAAAGTTATAATTATTGACACGCATTTTTATGAGCTGAAAATAAAACATGATTTTTTTTTTTAAAAAATGTATGAAAAAAAAACGGCAATTTTTATTAACAAACAATTTGCCTAGGAAAACGCCTGATAATTATGCACCAACCCAATACATAATTAGTTTTATTTTTTTATGCTGGGATCTGTGGGTGATATATTATTACTTTTGTAAAAAATACATAAGCGTAACTTACGATTTATCAATTAACAAAACACATTAACCAAATCATTGCACCATGCATAACTAATAACTTCCGATTTATCAATTAACCAAACTCATTAACCAAGTCATTGCACCATACCTAATAAATACAGCATTGAATCGACTCGCGAACTACTCCAAATCTTAAAAACTCAAAAACCTAATAAAGAATCCATAGTCCCACTCGATGCTGAAAGTTTATTTACTAAGATCCCAGTTAGGGAAAAGTTGATATAATTATAAAGACTATTTACAACAATCCATTTCTTCCCCCATTAAAAATTTGACCTGACATATTACGGAAACTGTTTTTAACTTATACACTGAGGTACCCTTTTATGGCCGTCAAAATAATATATACGTACAAGGTGATGGTATTTCCGTGGGTTCAATTCCGAGACAAACATTTAGTAACATCTACATAGCTAATCTTGAAAATAGGATATATAATACCTCTAAATATTCTCCATCTGCCTAAGATATGTAGATCATATTCTCATGTTAGCCAAAAACATAGATAGAATACATGAACAACAGCAAAAACCTAGGTTTTAAGTTCAAACCATAACGGTTTTAACTGATGCAATGACATACGAACATAATTACATTATTTGACAACTTTATTACAACGTTTCAGCCGTTGTACGCTCCGGCCATCTTCAGGTGATGCAATGAACCCTTTATTTCGCTCACTGGGTTAGAATGTTATAGTTCCATAATAATTATCCACTACTTTTAAATTTAACTCACTGTAACAGCAAATATTTTAGATCTAAATACCTGTTCTAATATTTTATACAGTTATATATTATTTTTTTAAAATTAAACAGGACTTATTGTTTCCTTTTGTTCATCTGCCATATTTATTATCAATTATTTATTTTCGTTAACAATCAACAGAGGGACACTATTTTTTTTTACAATTAATCCCATGATGCTAAAATGTTTTAACGATAGACTTTCCTTTATTGTTTTGTAGGTATTGATTCTGTTTATAAAATTTATCATAATATGTCTAGCGGGCAAATAGACTGGGAATGTGTTTGCCAATATTTAAAATAGAGTTTGAAACATTGGCTCTTAGCTTATTTGGAATGCCAAGTAGAGATTTAGTGGAAAATCTATAATTAACCTCACTACAAAGACAGATGAATGATATATTATTGATAGGTTCCGTCTATATTTAGTTTAGGTATTAACAATAATTTACTTAGTTTATCTGGGGCAATGTCAAATATATTTTGTTACACCAATGCTGTAACATTTCATATACTATTTACTTGCTTAAATCACTAGTTGCTATCCTTGGAGCGTGTAAGGCAAATCACTGACGAGAATGGGAAACCTCTAAACTCACAGTTCATTAACTATTCTATGTGACATAATATACTTTAAGAGATGATTTCATAATCCGCAAATAACAAATTAATTAATCCATCAGACAATCAACCGAAAAACACAATTTTGCAAACAAGTGTCGATGATCTTTGGGTATTTACGTCTCAATAATAATTTATTCCTTCACGTTAATGTGTCAGAGCTTAAAAATATCTATATTTGACGTATAATACGGGGTGAAATTGTCAGGACATATGTAACTCCAACTGGTGTCTGAGTGATTATGGCCGTTATTCCGGAGAGGGCCGCAATGGTTGTTTCTCTATGTTAGACCTCGCGGCTGCCTACAGGTCAATACACATATGTCACATTATGCATGTTTCTTACTGAAAGTCAAATCAAACACTATTGACTATGTGAAAGGTCTTCTTTCAGTAATAAACAGTAAAACGAATGGGATTTTTAAGAAGTACTTAATTTCTTTTTAATAGGGTAGTTTTCCCTCCAACTTGGCAACGACACAAAAACTGGATATGAATGAGTAAAGTCTTCCTGGCCCAATCCTTTGCATATCATGTATTCCTACCAAGCAACAGATTCTCACTAAAGAATTTTTGAGGGAGAAGATGCTTTCTTTAGCAAGAGATACATGGTTTTACCAAATTGCATATAGGTCGGTTCATAAATCAATCAGAAATTACCCTCGAAGCCAACCTCTTTTCTGTTATTTTTGCGTGACTAGTGACCATCAGCTTATCATGTCAAATATATCGTGTTTTCAGAAATAGGATATAATCTATGTGGCTGTTTATTCGAAGATATACTTTCTTCATAATTAATATTACATTATTCTCCTTCATATTACACCCACAATTTTACTACAGGTAAGCTGTAAATTTCTATGAACATTGGAATGTTAATATACTAGTCATTCCTTCCACAATGGTTAAATAGTCGGAGTTTAACCCTTTTGTTTTATGTAGACTAAGAACTCGTATTTTTAAAGTCTTAATTTCCAAACTCAAAAAATGCAACGGTAGGCAACTGTACTCATTCTCTCACGAA